TAGCACCATGACATCGAGTTTGGCGTGGCATGATCGGCACGAGATTCTCATTGCCATGGCAGATGGTCATCTCACGACATGGTACTACCCGACAATTGTCTTTTCCGACCGCGACTTGTTAACAACCACGAAGACTGTGCGGGATGACGGTGTAGATGAATTTTCTCGTAATGATCGTATTGTCGCTTTTGATGGCACAAGCGTGGGCGTGCGCCGTGGGGTTGATGGTGCTCTTCTGACGTTTAACACATCCCCGTACCCTCCCATGGTCTTCGAACATGTTGCCCAACACGACTGGAGTGGTGCAATTCGTCTGGCACGCTTTTTAGATGACAAGCCGTTGTGGGGGATTCTGACGGGGCTGGCGTTGCGTCAAGGTGAATTAAATGTTGCAGAGGTGGGCTACGGCGCTCTATTTGAACTGGACAAGGTGCGCTACATACGTCACCTGAAGAGCATTCCCACACCTGAGGGACGACAGGCCGAGTTGGCGTTGTTTCAGCGACGACATGCGGAAGCGGAGCGTATTCTTCTGCAAGCGGGACTCACCTACCGCTGTATCGACATGCACACCCGTTTATTTAACTGGGAACGGGCGTTGGAGATTGCAACAGAGAGAAAGACGCATGTGGACATGGTGCTAGCACAGCGCCAGAGGTACCTAGAGGCCGTTGGTAAAGAGGAGAACATTCCACTTTTCAGGGAACTTGCGGCGTCGGTGGAGGTGGACTGGGACACGGTACTCGAGAAGATGAAGCAGGAACAGTTGAAGGAGGCACAGCGCCCGGGTGCCAGACCGTATCAATAGAGTTGACGATCCATTTTCTTGGATGGAGCAAAAAAGCAATTAGAAGAGAGATTGAAGGAGAATTTGGAGGAGCGTGCAGAGTTTTGCGCGCTGTGCGAGGCAACGGAAGAGGAAAAACAGCAAGAAGATGCTGCGGTAGCGCAGGGAACTTCATTTGTTGTTGGTTTTCTTTTTTGTTGTGGCCCTTTTTGTTGTTGTTGTTGTTGGTTTTGTCTGTATTTCTGCGTCCGCAATATTTGCCCTCTTCCTTTTTCTTCTTCTCACTCTCCCAATAATGTAATTACCCCCTTTTTGGTTACTTTTCCCCCTTCACCGGCGGGTCCATTGGAGGCCGTGACCCATTTTTTTACTTCGGATGCCTTCATTCCCGTCAATTTGTCTGGTCAATGTGGGCGGGAAGAAGTGGAAGAAGAGAAAAAAGAAAAAAGAAAAAAAGAGGCCATCACAACTCCAATGCACTCCGCGCAAAGTACATATATATATATTATGTAGGTATCACGCGGTAACTGTCTTTCTTTCTCACTCTTCGTGTATGTGTGTAAGGGGGGCTTCTCAGCTTTGCTGCATCCGAGTATATTACATAATACATTTTTCCCAGCTTGCACATTTTTTTTTTTTTACCCTTTTCCTTTTTGTTGTTTATGCACGTTGCCGTTGGTTTGCAGCACGAAGGTCTGGTGCATTTGAAGAAAAAAAAACGAGAACAAAAAGGGGACACGTTGGAAGATGATAGGCGGTCAGCACACAAAGGAACGTCTAAGCGAGCGCCTGCAAGATTGCCAAAACCAACCAAAGAACCGTGGCTACCTCCCGGGCACGAAGCTGTTGACAGGTGGGTACAGCACCAGAACCCTTCAGGGAAACTGGGCTGAGGAACGCATGGACGCCGGCTACTACGATGGTGAGGCGGTCTTTCCCACGCATCTTGCAAGGGCGTGGACGACGGACTACCGCACCATGACAAGCAACGTGAGTGGCTCCCTTACCCGCCCCGTGTTTGATCAGGCCACGTTAATGGACATTGTGGATCATAAGCATCGCTCGTACCCTGCGCACCAACCGTACTTGGATCAGCAGCGTGATGAGGTTATGCAAGAACGCTTCAAGACGACAACACGGACATCGTACATAAATCCGGAGGAGAGAAAACGAGAGGCGCAACTGCACATTCCACCTGTTATTGGCCGCACGCCCACGGCACAGGCGAGAGCAGTGATCCTTCGCATTCAACGCCAGCTTTTGCTTTCGCGGCATGGCGAGTCCGCATTTCCCGGAAACATTTTGCGTCAAATACGACTCACTCTGCAACGCAACGATACTGCCGGGGAGGGGATGCTTACAGTGGAAGAAGCGGAAAAGGGATTTGAAGAAGCCTTTCTGGTGGTAAGTAGACCGGAATGTGTGGCGCTCGTTCGTGCCTTTGATCTTAAAGAGGATGGGACTATTTCAATTGCTAAAATAATGGAAGAATTGCGCGGTGAACTGCGTGATCGTCGCTACAGTCTTGTGGAGAAGGTTTATGAGATGTTGAAAGGCTTTTCTCCGGATGGTATTGTACGCCTCCAGCGTCTCGCAGAACTTGTCGATGTGGATAGCATGAACGCCGTGATGAACGGCAAAGTTACATCCTCTCTTGCGCACGACGCCTTTGTGGAGCAATGGGACTTGCCAATCGACTCGTACATCTCCTTCGAGAATTTTTTATTGTATTTCATGGACGCGTCTTTTGAGATTGAGAGCGATCAGGAGTTTGAGGTGTTTATGCGCAACGTGTGGCATCTAAGCGGGGGGAACGGAAAGTCAATGAATACATCCTGTCGTCGTGTGCGTGTGGTACACAGGAATGGCCGCATGAGCACACAAGAGGTGAAGAATGATCTGTGCATTAAGGATAGCGACCCAAACTTGCAGGAGCGCATCATTGCAAACTTGGCGTCGTGGGGGATTAAAGACGTTGCTCGAGTAGAAATGTTGCCGAGGAATTTGTAACTTATAATGATCTCGCGATTGTTGTTCTTCTTGTTATAGTTGTTGTTTTATTGTGGTGAGTGAGGTCTTGTTACCCTTGCTGTCTACATTGACTTGCTTGCATGTGTTGCCGCTGTTAGATGTTGTTACCGTTGTTTGTTTTTTTTTTTGGCGGTGTTTGTGGCGTCTTCATGTGAGCTTTTTTTTTTTTAATTCTATCAAAAGAGAGAGGAGTGGGGTGGGTTTTGTGTTGTGTTGTGGATGTATGTTGATGTAAATACTGTGTATGTATGGTGAATAAATTTTGGCAAACACAAAGTGGCATTTTTTTTTTTTTTTTGAGCCTTCTCCGATACGTTGTCTCTTGTGAAGCACGCATTTACGTTCACTTGTCGATCCTTTGCTGGCCAATTTTTACATTGGTTTGCACGCCCATTTATTTTTACATGTATGAATGTGCGTGCCACGGGCCATTGTTGTCGTTGCTGTTGAATTGGTGTTTGTTTACTAATTCTTCTCTGTTTCTCTCTCTGTGTGTGTGTGTTTGTGTGCGAGTGTCTTTCTTTCCCCATTCTGGAGGTTATCCGCCCTCCACTTTGCAGCGCGCCCCTCGCCGACACCGGAGAGTCTCTGCGAGGGAGTGAAAAGGAAGGAACACACAGAATAACTGCTCAGGAAATTACAAGAAAAAAAAAAAGGGAAAAAAAGAAAAAAGGGGGGCAAAAAAAACGGGGATTATTGGAATGTTTCATCGGCACTTGTGTAAACTCTGCTCCAAGACGCCCTCTGCAGCCACGCTGGCCTCACCGCTCGGCAAACTGCAGGAAGAGAGGGGGGAGGGTGTCGCAAAGGATCTGAAAAAGGACAAGCAGCACAGACAAATATTTTTGCAAAAGTTCCGTGAGCGACTGGACAGCGACACGACGGGCAAAAACACACTGGCTGGATTTATTGACCTTCCCGAGGGGATTTCGCCGACGATGGCGGCGGTTGGCCCGCTGAAACGGGGCGAGGAGCCGCTGCCGCCGTGGTTGAAGATGAAGGTTGCGAAGGGCGTCTCACGGCTTCCGCGCTTCAACAGTATTCGAAAGTCCATGAGAGAGAAGCGCCTGGCGACAGTGTGCGAAGAAGCCAAGTGCCCCAACATTGGCGAATGCTGGGGTGGGGACGAGGAGGAGGGCACCGCGACGGCAACGATCATGGTTATGGGATCGCATTGCACACGAGGTTGTCGCTTCTGTTCCGTGCTGACAAGCCGCACGCCGCCTCCACTTGACCCAGACGAGCCGCAAAAAGTGGCAAACGCTGTCGCAGAGATGGGAGTTGATTACATTGTTATGACGATGGTTGATCGTGACGATTTGAATGACGGTGGGGCTGCACATGTTGTGCGATGTGTGAATGCCATTAAGGAGAAGAACCCGTTGTTGCTTCTCGAGGCTTTGGTGGGCGACTTCCACGGCGATCTTAAACTTGTGGAGACGGTCGCCTTATCGCCGCTTAGTGTTTATGCACACAACATTGAGTGTGTGGAGCGTATTACACCAAATGTGCGGGATCGGCGCGCCTCGTATCGTCAATCGCTCAAAGTACTTGAGCATGTCAACTCCTTTACCAAGGGCGCGATGCTCACAAAGAGTAGCATCATGTTGGGTCTCGGTGAGAAGGAGGAGGAGGTGAGACAAACCCTTCGAGACCTGCGTACTGCCGGTGTTTCAGCGGTAACACTCGGCCAGTACTTGCAACCAGCACGCACGCGTCTGAAGGTGAGCAGATACGCACACCCAAAGGAGTTTCAAATGTGGGAGGAAGAGGCAATGGCGATGGGTTTCTTATACTGCGCCTCAGGGCCACTGGTGCGTAGTTCGTATCGGGCGGGAGAATATTATATCAAGAGCCTTGTAAAGCAACGCGGAGCCGCCGCCACAAAATCGAATACCACTACCACTACTACTAACACCGCATCACTTGCCGCTGCTACTGTGACGGATTCGGCGACATTGCAGGGAGAATAAGTGAGGGAAATTTGACTCGTACAGGGCCATAAAGAAGAAAGAAGGAGAAATGTTAAAATAAAAAAAAATGGAAAGAAAACACCGAAAAAGACGGTGCGAGTAAATATTTACCGGTGATGCTTTGATGTTTTTTTTTGTTTTTATTTTAGTTTTTCTACGGATCCCATCCGTTTTTATTTACGTTGATGTGCACTCATCATTTCACTCTCTGTCCGTGTGCCCCGGTCTGTAGGGAAGAGCACAGTCATCAAAAATGAACAAAATATGCTTTTTTTTCCCTGTTGACTTTGACTTTTTATTTGTTGCGCTTATGTTCACTTGTGCGCCCTCCCTCCCTCTCTCTCTTCTCTTCTCTTGTTGTTTGCCGTGTGTTGTGTTGTGTTAGGTGGAGGGCATCCGCCACATTTTGTTTTGTTTTTTTTTCTCCGCAGTGCCGTCAGCGCGTACTTCTGCCGCGTTGCTTCTTTCACGAAGTTCTTGGGCGGAGTCTGGCGCAGCGACGACGACAGGCCGTGCGGGGGGAACTGCACCAAAAAAAAAAGGAGGTTTAAAAGGCGCCAACAGAAGCGAAGGAAGAAAAAAGAAAAAAGAAGGGCAGGGCGGGTTGCGTGGACGCCAGTCAACAGAAGGGAAGACACAAACACTTTTTGGTTTTTTGGTTTTCTTTCGTTTGAGAGGAAATAATAAAATAAAAATAAAGAAATAAAAAAGCAAAAAAAAAAAAAAGAAGAGGGTTTCGTGGCGGGCGGGGGGAAAGAGGAAAAAGGGGGTTATTTTATTGTGCTTTTTTTTTTATTATTTTATATATTTTTGTTTTATTGTCGGCCCCCCTCCCGTCTACTGGGGAAGTGCACGCAGGCAGACCGAAAAAAGAAAGAAAAAAAAAAAAAGAAAAGCAGCTGAGAAAACAACACCAAAGAAAAACAAATAACATATACATACATACATACACATATATATTATTTATTTATTATATATAAATATACAATAAAGGAAAAGCAACCGCGTCAACAATAA